TGTTTTTACAGATAGAATTATGCACAATGTGATACCAATCAAAATCCAAAGAGAATTTTAAAAAGTTGACAATTATTCTAACCACATTCTGGAAGAATAACATTTTGAAAATGAGTAAGAGGGTACCTCCACCCTAATAGTTTTTAAACTGTGTTACTAGCACACAGATCTTATGGTTTCTAACTGAATGTCTCCCAAAGCCTAGCGTGCGCAAAAGTGGGACCTTTGAAAGATGGTTGGATTATGGGGATTTATAGCTTATTTGCTATTGGAAGGTAAGGTCTGGTCAGAAAAGGCCCGTCGTTGGGGTTGTGGCTAGGAAGGGTTTATCTCCCTTCTGGCCTCTTCCTGGATTTTCTCTCTGCTTCCTGTCCAGCATGAGGTGAGCAGCCAGTCCTCTGCCACGCCCCTTTGCCATGCTGTCCTGTGTTAGAGCCAGCAGGCTGTGGACTGACGCCTCACACACTGCGAGCTGAACTAAACCTCTCCTCTTTTAGGTGTGTGTGTTGGGTATTGTGTTTCAAGGAGGAGGAAAATGACTGAGACAACAGATTTACCAGTGGAAGAGAAAGGAGAGGCCTTTCAGAAGATCTTCATTTCAGGGTGGTATATCAAGTTAATAAATAGCATTGGAACAAGAAGGCATAATCTGATAATTAGTACAATCTATCACCTTGTTGTAACTACTATGTGGTTTCTGAAATTCATCCAATTATCGGGGTATTTGTAGAGTAACTTGGAGCCATGAATCAGAAAGGTGATTTTCAAAGTCTATGGCTTATTGAAAAGGGTGAATTTGTTTTTGAACATTTTTTCAGATATACTTTTAAAATTTAATGTGAGACCGTATTGTTGGGCATGTAAGTGTTCAAAATACATACACTTTTTCTCCATTGTCCTTTTTCCTCTGTGTTATGGTTTAGATCTAAAATGTCCCCCCAGAGACTCATGTGTTTAGAGGGTGTCTGAATCATGAGGACACTCTACTCATCAGTGCATTAACCTACACTCAAGATTAGTAGCTGAATGTGCTGACAGGAGGTGGGGTCTGGTTGGAGGTGGATCACTGGGAGAATGACTTGGAAAGGTGTTTGTTGTCCCCAGTTCCTCCCTTCTCTTCCTGCTTCCTGGCCGCCTGGGATGAGAAGCTTTCCTCTACCATGTCCTCTCACCCTGCCATTTCTGCCTCGCAGCCAGCAGACTGTGGACTAAAGAACAAGCCAAAGTAAACCTCTCCTCCTTTCGACTTGTGAGAGACTGCTTGGGCCTGCACAAGATGGCTGCCCTCAACCTTAGCCTTTGCCTCGGTGGAAAAATCCCACTAGACTACATACATGACCTTTGGCAGGTCTAGCCCCTGGGCAAACAGGAAATCTTACAGAAAGAATAGCCCTTTGTGCTAACCACAGGGTCACCGGATCTGGAGCAGGAAGCAGGTGGTATTCCCCGTCCTACTTGCCCCTAGGGATTGTGAAGTTAAAGATTGCATAGGGTTAATTGTTGATGTACGCCTTCCCACTTACCCCTCCCCACATTTGGTAAAATACTGATTGCTGTATGGTTAAATGCTTGAGTGACTCATGTGATTGATTTGTTTGAACTGTCCAATAAGCTTGCTGAACCTTCCCCCTGGGATAACAGTATATAATCGTTTTGCTGAGCCAATAAAGCGCCTTTGATCAGAAACCAGACTTGGGCCGTGTACTCTAACTTCTTAAAGATTTCCTTCACAGACATTCAAGATCGGATCGGCCTCTGATGACCCACGAATAAGAGGCGGCTCTCATCTCCTATTCCCCGCGGGACGGGGTCCCCCCAGAGAGCCGCATCGACTGTGGATGTCAGGTGCTATGGCCTGAAATGGGAAAGCTAAAGAGTATAATATGCCATAACTTTCTTTTTCCTATAAGGCTTTTTGCCTTCAATTCTTTTTTTTTTAACCTATGCTAAGAAATCAACCAACTTAAAAAAATCTTTATTAAGTTTATTGGTACATTTTAGGTATACAGTACAGTCACATACATCACGGGCATCTTGTGCCTATACATGACTTACGAGGTTCTTATTTTCCCCCATTCCCCAGCCCTCCCTTCATCCCCTCCACTCTTCCCTGTTTACAAAGACATTGTCTCCATGTTTTTCCTTTTCACATTTTTTTCTTTTCCCTTTTTCCCTTCCCTCTACCCCTCCCACTTCCTCTACTCTTTTAGACGTTTTCTTCCTATTACACAATATCAATTATACATTTGATCCTTACTCACACTTTTAGTTTATCACATCAGAGAAACTATTCGGTATTTACATGTGTGACTTATTAATTTTACTTGAGAGTATGGCCTCAATGTGCATCCACTCAGCTATGAATATCTCTAGTTTCTAGTTATTTATGGCTGAGCAATCCATCTTATTTAAAAAAGCACATCTTGTTTATCCAGTGTCCAGTTGATGAGCAACTGGGCTGTTTCCCAATTTTAGCTATTATAAACTGTGCCGCTATAAAAATGGGTAAGCATATATTGCCGTGGTATGATTCTTTTAATTCTTTTGGGAAGATACCCACCAGAGGAATACCTGGGTTAGGTGGGACTTCTAATCCTAGTTGTTTGAAGTATCTCTCTGTTGATTTCAACCGAGTTATTTTTGTTCATATTGGTGTTATACATTTTTTTCTCCCCTTTTGTTTGACTACATTCTGGATCCTAGTGTTTTGAAAGTTCCTTTTTTGGAAAAAATATTGCTAGACTATTTAAAATGCACTGATAGCCTTGGTCTTTTAATTGGTGACTTTAATTAATTTGCAATTATTTTAAAGTTAGATAGGCATTTGTTATTGACATTATTTTTTATACGGTACACTTACTATAAATTTTTATCTTTTTTTTCCTATGTTGTGTTGAATGGAACAGATTCTCTGGCTAGTTCAAAAGTTAAGCATTACTATTTATTTTTATTGTGAGTGCTATATATATAATCAACTACTAGCTTATACAATCAAATTTTTGGAAACAAAACCTTGGTAGAAGTCATTTGTGTTTCTCTCTTCATATTTCCTTCTCATCCTGTCAAAGTCAATCGTGTTTTAAAATTTGATGTTTATCATTCTTATGTATTACATAATATTTTATTACATAAATATGTATATCTAAATTATACATAATAACATTATTATAATCAACTACTAGCTTATACAATCAAATTTTTGGAAACAAAACCTTGGTAGAAGTCATTTGTGTTTCTCTCTTCATATTTCCTTCTCATCCTGTCAAAGTCAATCGTGTTTTAAAATTTGATGTTTATCATTCTTATGTATTACATAATATTTTATTACATAAATATGTATATCTAAATTATACATAATAACATTATACATATTTTAAACTCAAAACAAATGGTATCACTTGATATATAGCCTTTGTAACTAGCTTTATTTTTGCATATGTCATAGGTGAGATTTAGCCAAAGTTGATACATACATTTACATTCTGTGCTGCATAATTTATATATATATATATACATATATATATCCATTATATGCATAAACCAAATTAAATTATCTAAGGTATATATTATCTGGTATAAGCTGCTTAGCAGGAGGTTGCAAATAGTGACAAAGGAAATCCTTCAAGATGATTTTAAAAACACAAAATGAAAGTGATTACCAAACTGAATTAATAAAAAGAAGCAAGTAAATCTGACAAATTAGCCATTCAGCAAAGTGATCTACAGTCCAGAATCTCAATAAGAGGAAGAATAAGCTGTGGTAGCAAAAATAATTCCATCCTCTAATGTATCAGTCTACTCAGGCAGCCAAAACAGATTTCCACAAACCAGGTGGTTTAAACCGCAGACATTTGCTTTCTCAGCTCTGGAGGCTGGAAGTTCAGTACCAAGCTGCCTCTGGGTTGTTTTCTGGTGGGGTTCTCTTCCTGGCTTGCATACTACAGCTGTCTCACTGTGTCCTTGCCTGGCTTCTTTTCTATATGTGCACAGAGAGCAAGAGAGAACATTCTCTTCGGATAAAGACACCAGTCTATCAGATTAGGGCCCTACCTTATCATTTAACATTGATTACCTCCATAAAGGCTATACCTACAAATATAGTGACATCAGAGGTTAGGGTTTCAACGTACGAATTTGAGTGTGACACAACTCGATATAGAATCACCCAAATCTTATAAATTACCTATCTATTGCTACACAACAGCACAAAAAAGCAACTTTAATGTCAGTGCTTATAATAGCAAATATTTATTTTTCTTGATCATGGGCTAGTGGATAATTTGGGTGAAGATGATCTCAGCTGCTGCTGGCTGGGCATGGATCCAGGCTGTAGGTCAGGTTGAGATCCCCCTATCTCATTTTGGAGCCCATGCTAATAGAGCAACGAATACTGAGGGCACACTCTTTTGATCGTGATGGCAGAAGGACAAGAGCACAAAATCCAATTGAATAAACACATTTCAAGGCTCTGCTTGCATTATGTTACCAAAATCCCAGTAGCCAAAACAAGTTACAAGGTCAAGCCTAGAGGGGCAAAGAAATTAACTTCATCCATCCGTAGGAGCCATGCCAAGGATGAGTGTGTATAATAATACTGTAGCACAGCAAAGAACTGGAAGCAGTAATTCATTCAGTCGCAGCACATGTATACACTGGAGCTCTGACTGGGATGAGCTTTAACTGGCGTTAAGCATAGGTGGGGTACGGGTAGTACAGACTGATGCTGCAGCCATACCTAAAGTCATCGTTTCTCCACCATTGTGATTTGATCATCTTATGTACTCCTTGCTTCTCTTAGGTTTTTGATCCAGTGGTCCCTATGTTTTGAGGGCTCAGATTAATTATACTCTTTCATTCCTTGAGCTCTGAGTCAACTGAGAAATATTCCTGGAGTTCTGAAATGAAATTAATAACACTATTATCTCTATTGTTGGTTAAGTGCCCTAGGCCCAAGACTAAAATGATCTTTTTTCCTTCTTTATTTGAACTTCCCTACCTAGGTAATGATATCACATCCAGAGAGCTCTCTGCCTGATTCCTTTGTTTGCTGCATGAGAAGAAGAAAAGCTGGTCAGAATTAATTGAAAGGTAAGACTGGGATTAGAGGTGTGTCCAGACTGAAAAAATAGTCTGTGTGAAGGCCTTGAGACAGGAGCAGATCTCTAGGCAGTTGAGGGATTCACTATCCAGGTGATTACTAAATACCAAGGGCCTTGGTCAATTTAGACTGAAGAAAATCAGGCCTTGAGGGAACCTTAGAGTTGACCACAAACATAAAAGGCAAGAAGATGCAACTCTATTCATTTACTCACTCTTTCATTATAAATGCTATCTGTGTTCTCAGCACTGGGGACACAACAATGAACAAAATGACCATATCCCTGTCCATGTGTGTAGCAGACATCCCTGCCCAGTACCCATGGGCTATAGTGGCACCTGCTTCTTGCTTTCCATAATTTGGCTATATTGTTTTATATCAGGAGTCAGACCAAAGTTCTTCATGACTCAAATGGGCATGTCAGATGGCACACTGGACGAGCAGAGCCCCTCCCACAATGGCTGCCACAGAAACCTAGGCCCTGGTCTGTGAAGTGGCAGGCTCTGAGTTTCGTGCAGCTGAGGTCAGTGTGGACCCAATTAGAATCCTCTCCCTAAATTATGGCTTCTCACTGGCCCAATGGGTTGCTTGCTAATTGCACCCATTCTCAGTACCTGTTTGTTCTATTCAAGCAAGAGAAGCAGTGCTTACTCATAACAGCCCTGCCTGGTGCCATCATGCCATGAGTTCAGCAGTATTTCACTAGGTGCCTTCAAAGCACACCCTGCTCCCTATTCCTTCCCATGGTTGTATTCAGTAAATACCGGATGCAGTTGGGGTCTTTGTCTTTGCTGCCATCAGCAGCACTGATCCTGCCCCAAGATGCAGCTTAGTCACTCTTAGTTTCTGCCTCATTCTTTAATTCGTCTTGTGCTGTGGTGGTTCACAGGACCCACCGCAGAGATTCTGACAACGTCCCCTTCTCCACTTTCTTTATGTGTGCACCTTAACATTTATGCTGAGGCACAAAAAAATAAGCACGATTTCTGGTGGTACAAGGTAATAAGCAGTAAGGAGGATAGAAGAGGGTTAAGGTGTTTTGGTTGGTGGAGGTGTGAAGCAATTTCAGGAACAATGATCAGGGTAGGTGATACTTTAGCAAAGATCAGAAGGAGAAGGGGACCATCAGGTAGGAGTGTTCTGCCCAGCGACATCACCAGCCATTGCCAGACTTGCAGTTGTTGAGTGTTGGGAGATAAGGGTTAAACAATAGTAAGAATGTCATCATCTAGGAGAGTGGGAGAAGAGGCTGGGCAGGTAGTGAGGTGGAGGTAATAGAAGAAAAGGGGGGCTTAACTTGGACCATGTAAACCACTGTAATCCCTCAGGTGTTTAATTAGTGATATGGGGAGTCACTGGAGTGTTTTGTCTGATCTACCTTTTCGGCGGAAGGCTGTGTTGAGGGTAGAATGGAGGGAAGAAAGGGACATCATTCTATGTGATCCTGAGAAAATAATTAGAGTCAGCTGTAGAAGAGGCTGACTTTTCTAATTAACAAACAAACAAACAAGCACTGTCTAATCAATTGATTGTGTACCAGTGAAATTAGCTGTGCAGTCTCGTTAGAGTAACACTCAGCAGCAACATGCCCCAGAGGCCCCAGCAGAAGCCAGGGATGTTGACACTGGGAAATTCCTGTGTGGAATAAGAGCTCAGATCCTGTGACATCTCCGATTCCTTTCCAGTGGAGAGTTTATCATTCTACAGCACAAACCACCTGGATGTCCTCCGACTAGAATGTGAGCTTCCGGAGTGCCAGGAGTTTAGTCTGTGCATTGCACAATTCCTGGTGCTTAGAATACTGCCAGCATATAGCAGGCACCCCATACATACTTGTTAAAAGACCAAATGTCTTTGTTAAACTTAATGTAGCACCTTGAGCAAGGCACCTCTCTGTACCTCATAGAATACAAAGTAGAACTGGGTGGCCTGGATGACCTGATAGGTTGGCCATCTGTGATCTCATTTCAAAGTGTGAGGCATCATTTCCAAAGGGCTTTGCAGTCCAAGGGGTGAAAAGCAGGGGTCTCATATGGAGAAAGGAAGGGATGGATAAGGGCAAACCTGAGCCATGGAGAAATACACAATAATTTCTGGGGCTGAGGACCACGGCACCCTCTAGAAATAAATGTGAATTTTCCTTTTTGACATGCGTAGGAGTGAAATTCCAAAGAGGGATGTTTCTCCGGAAAGTAAGGGTACAGGACACTGAGAACTCATCCCAACCATGTTGCCTTTGCTTCAAGTGCATCAGCCTGGTCAACAAAGTGCTTACAGTCCCTTGAAGTACTCCTGGGAAAAAGCATAAATAGCAGCACAGATTCCATTTAAGGGTATCGAAAATACATTTTTAATTTTGATGAGGTTCACAAATGACAACACTGACATTTCTTTAAATAGATCGCTCCATCAAGGCACAGCATTTCCATGTGTCCCCAGACACTCAAGCAGCAGTGATTTCATGTCCCGCTGACGTTTGGCAGAGTTGCCAACATCAACAGGATAGCTGAGGGGGACCAGACGCGTTACCAATAGACATATGAGACATGCTGTCATGATTATTGGAGACAGAATTAAATATAAAATAATGCGCAACAGGTAACTGCAATGAGCTTATTCTGCACTTAGCTTTAGTTCTTTTCAAACAAAAAAGATAGTTTCAATGTCAAGAAATATGCACATATGAATGTCTTCCCTACAAATTGCCTTCATTACACACTAAAAGAAGTCACATTTCATTTCGGTGTGACCTAGGAAAGAAAAACAAAAAAACAAGCCGAAGTTTAGTTATTGCCAGGTTCTTGACATCTATTATTTCATTTATTCTCACTTTCTTTTTTTTTCCTGTACTGGGGATTGAACCCAGGTCCTTGTGCTTTCAAGGTAGGTAGTGGAACCACTGAGCTAAATCCCCAGCCTCTATTTCATTTACTCTCTATGTAAATGTTGGGTGGTAGGTATATAAAAGTCTTCATGTCACAAAAGGAGAAACTGAGGTTCAGGGAGCATTAAGTGACTGACCCATGGTTATATAGCTAGTGGAGCGCAAACAGATTTCTTAAGCCCAAGGCCCTTGTCTTAATTCAGAAGTACATGACACTGTAGTATATACTCCAAAAGGATAATGTCCTTCCCATTCAAATCTCAAAGGATCTGTGCTTCCTGTCTTGATGAACTCAGTATCACAAGAAAAGAATGGAAAAATAGAGAAGAGGAACCCAAAATCTAGTTTCAGCTACTGGTCTCAGAGTCCTTTCCCTAGTCACTGATGTGGGTGCTGTTCCCTCTGGACTTTTTTCAACTGTATGGGCTCACAGAGGCTCAAAGCCTAGACACAACCCTGCACCATGTGGTCGTCCCTCCTCCACCCCTCCTCCCACCTCACAACACAGTCACCTGCTTCCTGGGGCCCTTTAGCTGCTCAGGCCTGAAGGTCCCTGCGGCGCCGGCCGAAGGCTTTGGAGCCCACATCAGTAGCTATGAAGTTGTCCTTCACCACACCTCCTGATCTGCTCAGCAAGCCTGCCAGCCGGTGGGTCACGCAGGTAGCGGTGTTGCAGGCTCTCTTCTGGGCAGTGACGCTGGTTTGCAGGATGAGAAAGAGAAAATCTGTCTGTGAGAGGTTGGGGGAGGAGCCTGCCCCTGGAGACCATCATAGTAAAGTTGCTGCTCAGAGAGATACCAGTTAACCACAAGTGTCTCCATAACGTATCTATCGGAGCAGAAGAATGACAGGGCATGAAGGAAAACTCCATGACTGCACCCCATAGACTTTCCCATAGACATAGGGCGTCAGAAAATGCTAAGATGACTCTTGGTAGGGCCGGCCGGCCATGGAAACACAGGGTTGTTCCTGTATAACACCAGGCTGTTCTGATCTTTCCTATATAAATAGGCTAAAAATTACCTAAGGTTTACTAGACTAGTGTAGATTATAGCACCACACCTAAGCCCATTCACAAGGATTATAGAATCCACAGCCTGGTTATATGCACAAAATACCCCTTCTTAAGAAAATGAAAATTTCTTATCTTACCTGGAAAATGAGCAGAGTTTGTAGCATCTGGTCCAGATGTGCTTACCTGCTCCTTGGCAGCCCTTTTCTTCATGCTTGAGCTGGGCTACAGGGACCACTCACCTGTGTCCACCTACCCCGGGGCTAAGGCTACTTCTAAGCACAAGTTCTAGACACCAGGAAGCCTGAGATGTGGGCTACAACAACAACCATCACAGCTAAGATCTTTTTGGAAAAATAATTTTATTCCCCAAATGACCAGCAGTCAGAAGCAGGACTGAGACACTCTGCTGGGGAATCTTCAGGGTCCTCAGAAGGGCTGCCCTTGCTCTCATATCTTCCTGGATAATTTTCTCCTGGTCTTGGAGTCCTCCTCTCCCCCCACCCCTTTCTGCCCATCTGAGGTTCCAGAGATTCTCTGCCAGAGGGAAGCCACCAATAACAGCCCGAAGGGCTGCAGGAGACGAACCACATGCATAAAGTTATGGGAGAAAAGTAAGAAAATAAATTAGAGAGAAGAGGGAGTTTAGTTGGCATCCTGGGGCATGCCAACAAGAGTGCGGTGGTTTGACTCCAAGTCACTGGCTGTATCCCTTTTCTTGCCAGGTGCTCCGACCCCAATTGCAGTTTGGGGGAATGTGTGAAACTTGTTGAGGTCCTGTGTGTAGGTGCCCAGCATGCAGGTACTCAGATTACCACATCGCTTAGATCTGGGGCTGTCCAGGCTGCAGGGAAAAGACATGCCAGACAGTGCCATGCACAGGATCTGCCCCCATGGGCAGTCAGCAGGTTAGACTGGGCAGGAACCCTTTGGGTAAGGGAGGAGGCACAGGCGGGAAGGCGTCTCACACATTCTCCATCAGGAAGGCTCTGAGGTGCATGGGCCAGGGTGGTGGTACGGAAGGGTGACCTCTCACCCTTACTCTCTCAGTCCTTTATGTTTACGATAGATTCAGGTCAACCCATGCCTCTACCTGAGCAGTGTGGGTCCAGGCCAGGGCTGGTCTCCTTCCCATGCCCAGGGTACATAGAGAGCTGGGACAGGGGAAGGGTGCTCACCTTGGCCTTCCAACAACATGCACATTTCCCTGTCTCAGACACTGCCCTACCTGTCCCCAACCCCTGCAAGCCCTCGACTTCACTTGACAAATATAAAACTCAAGGCTCCTTGTGAGAGAACATGGCATGCTGATGAACCAGGTAGAGCCATATTTCTAAAGTCTCCTGAGATGTACCAGTCCATCCCCAGGCTTCAGGTTTTATCCTTACCAGTCTTCACCCGTCCAGTGCCGGGAGGTCTTCCTGCTGTCACAAGATCAGTTCCCACAGTAAGGTATTCCACACCTTCCCTAACTAATTCCAGAAACGGATCTGTTAAATGTGATCTAACCATGGTCTCTCCAGCGACTGTCATCTTCAGTATAGCCTGAGAACTGCTGGGTCCCATGTCTTGATGTACAGAGCAGCCTGCTGGACTCCTGGCCTGTGTGGTCTCTCCTACCTCTTGAGATCCTCCTTCCTATGCTTTTGGGAACTTGAAGGGGAGGGGAGCCCCTGGGATGGCCAGGTGGGAGCCCTACCTGGAGCCCTCTGTCTCCTGCTCCTGCTCCAGCTCACTGGCCTTCATCTGCACGTAGTCCTGCATCAGTGCTGCCAGCAGGAGGCGCGCTTCCTCCTCACTGAGCCCGGCCAGGTCCGGGCTGTTCTCCAAGTCCTGCCTGGTAGGGGAAAGCAAACTGAGTGTGGGCTCTGAGACCCGGCCTCCTTCTCCCCAGGGGAAGCAGCCAGGCTTTCTGGTTCCTGCTTCTTCCCCTGAGGATGTGGCTGCCCCAACTCCCAGAGGACAAGGCTTGAGGCAGCGTCCTTATTGGAAGCTGGGCACTGGTGCGGCCTCTCCTGTTAGACTGGAATCAGTGCACACGGGCTCATGAAACCTGCTAGTTAAATTTTCAGGAATTTTGTGATCTAAGTGTTAGATGCAGCCATTACTATAAATTAAATGATAAAACTTACAATTGGTGTTAAATCTAAATGAGGGTTTAATTTAATAAATGTAATTTGTATGTAAGTGAGAAAAAGATCAACACTTTACATATCAGATTTGATAACAATGTTTTTTGGTAACCTAGTCAGATTAGGATGCAATTCATTTCTCAAATTATGGCCGATTGGGCATCAAGGTAATCTACTTAAACAAAAGTTGGATGAAAAGCAACAAAAGCATTTTGCTAGAGTCATTAGGGTCCATGGAATTTTGTAACACAGAATATCATAAATCAGCGTATTAAAAATTGTGCACTGCACACTATTACATCAGAAAAAGTTTACAATAAATTTATATGCATGAACACATGTCCCTGCCCCCCAGCAGAAGACTGGCTCTCCTGTCTTCTGGCTGTCTCACCTGAATGGCACTGCATGCAGGCTGCCTGAGAGGTACAGAACTAAGACGCTGACAGCCAGGAATGGGGAGAACTTCCAGAAGCCCATGACGTCTCCCTGCAAGGGAAGAAGGACATCAACCACCTCAGGCACCAGCTCGAAGATCTGCGAGGTCACAGACTTGATCCCTGTCTGCTTCTGTCCACCTCTAACTTATTGATTTCATGGCTTCAGGTGTCTCCCTTCAGTTTTGATTCCTCATCAGCAGAGCGGACCATCAGAAGGTCCAGTAGGCACGTAGCATGCATGGTTTGCAAGTGAGAGGTGCTATTTTAGAGGGAGAGGTAAATGGTAATTCTGTCTTCCCCTCTCCACCAAACGCTACACAAACCTGTTGGGCAAGTCTTGAGGTTACTCTACGAGCCCCCTGGCACAGTAACTGCTCCTGTAAGTAAACCCAAGGCTGTTTTCCTGTGTGGGATCTCGAAAACGCCCAGGGGTGGGGAGGGAGAGGGTAGGTAGGGAGCCGATATTTCTATAGTTGTAATCTGCAAAAACGGAAGGACCATTTCTAGTGCTCAGTTGCTCCGTCTTCTGGCAACTCCTTAGCCTGCAAGAACCAAGCTTAGGCTGAAGTTGGGTGGGTAAGAGACTTCTCTACTCCCAGAGCCTTAAGTGGGGCTTGCCATTTAGGGTGCCTGCGGTTCAGTTGTTGAGCTCATTTGCTCCCCATTCGCGCCGGCCCAGACTCTGAGCCAATTTCACGGAGAATGCGAGGCCCCAGAGGCGATGCCGGAAAGCACCACTTTCGGGAACCTCCTCCTGCATCCATCCGAGAGAGCGAGGCCTGGAAACCCGGGTCCGGAAACTGGCAGTCGGGGAGCGCAAAGGAGTCCCGGGACTGACACTATCCGACCCTACCTGGGGAAGGAGTCCGGGATGGACTGCTGACTAACAGAGACGCTGATGAAGACATGGAGACCGAAGTGGACAGAAGGACCGAGAGTAGGAGGGAAATCACCCGGGATAGACTAATGGGGAGCGGGGGAGAGGGAGAG